ATATTAATCTCGGGCGCTGTAAACGAGCGCCGCGGCGCGCCGGCGTTGGGGATGGGAGGGGGGGCGGCTGGCACCCGGCTGGGAATTTGATAATGAAAAATGGGGGAGTTTAATTTCAGGGGACGACGGGTGGAAACGTTTGCCCGCTGCCAGGTGCGCGGCAGGTGGGCCCCGGGCGGGCGGGATTCCCGGGGTCAGAGAGGGGAGGCCTGGAGGTGGCCACGCCCGGGGCCTGCGCCCAGGGGAAACGCGGGCCAGGAGGCTAAGGGGCCTGTGGCTGGGCCCCGCGCGCCCCTCGCTGCGCATCCCGCGCCCCTGGGCGGCCCGTGCGTCCCCAGCCTGGTCTGCGCCCTGCGCGCCCAGAAGGCCAGGGCGCCGGCCCACCCCGCAGAGCTCGCGCGCGTCCAGCCCAGACACCTCCGAGGCCACCCCCGGACTGGGGGTGGGGGTCCTCCTCGCCACGCCCCCCCTTCTCCGGCAGATGGGGATTGAATGGGGGAGAAGCCAGAGAGGGCTCTCTGTGACTTGGGGACCTCCCGGTCCAAACCCCGAAGGAGATCCCGCCTCCAACGTGACCTTTGCCCTTGGGCCCCCCAGCCCCCAGCGCCCATTTAGCTCTGGGGCTCAGCCAAGCTCTTCCCTTCGCGTTTTTATTTGTTTATTTATTTATTTTTGAGACGGAGTCTCACTCTGTTGCCCTGGCTAGAGCGAGTGCCGTTTCGTCGGCTTAGCTCACAGCAACCTCAGACTCCTGGCCTCAAGCAATCCTTCTGCCTCAGCCTCCTCCCGAGTAGCTGGGACTACAGGCATGCGCCACCATGCCCGGCTGATTTTTTTCTCTATATGTTTTTAGTTGTCCAGATAATTTCTTTCTATTGTTTTTAGTAGAGACGGGTGGTCTCGCTCTTGCTCAGGCTGGTCTCGAACTCCGGAGCTGGAGCGATCCTCCCGCCTCGGCCTCCCAGACCCTTCTCCTTTTTGAGCTTCCCGAGGACCTGCCCTCTGTCACAGGTGTCTGTCCTGCAACTGGCCGCCTCGCCCCCTCCCCCACACACCCCAAAATTGAGAGGCTGAGGCCCTAACGCCCAGCACCTGGGAAAGGCAGCTCTTTTGGAATTAGGGCCCTGGCAGGTGACATTGATTATGATCACCTGGCAGGGGAGCGGGGCGGGGCCGTAAGCTGGTAGGACTGTCCTTACAGATCAGGTACGTGTGGGGACGGGGCCGGGGAGAGCCACAGGTGAAGAGGAGGAAGGCGAGACCAGGTGAGGCCTCTGCAGCCGCCGGCCACCAGGAAAGAGAGCCCCAAGCAGACCCCTCCCTCCCAGCTCTCGGAAGGAACCAGCCCCGCCCAGGCCTCCATCTGGGACTTGGGGTTTTCCGATCTGGGGCCCCTCCTGCGTCTTCGCTGCTGGGTTTGGGGCGCTCTTGCTGCTGCAGCGGCCCGAGCAGACCGACCGCAGACGTCCCCGCCAGAGTGCCTGTCACCGTGGACAACCGTGCACCGAGTTGGTGGCTTTTATTGCAAACTCCGCAAGGGAAAAGGGGCGGTGCTCTCCATGGCCCCGTGCACCCCGCCGCGACCCCCATGCTGCAGGGCGCCCGGCTGAGCACCAACCACAGATGGTCTCCAACCACAGATGCCTCAGCGAGCATTCATTAGACTCCGCCTGTTTGCCCAGGACTGTGCCAAGAGCTGGGGCGTGTACAGAGGGCGTCTACCCTAACGTCTCCACCCGCCTGTCGTGGTGGAGCGTCATGCTTCAACTCCTGCAGGCCCTGTGGGTGCTGAGGGCTGGGCGAGTGGGGGCTTTGCCGGGAGTTGGGGGGCTCAGGGTGGAGCCCCCCATGCAGCCTGGGCAGGTGGGGCGGCTGGAAGCTGAGTCACGGCCGGGGAGGGGGCGCAGCCGGCCTTGGCAGACAGGCCCCTCCTCCTCTGCTGTCCTTGTGAGGGGCCTGGTGGCAGCAACTGGCCGTCCCTGTGCCCACGGATAGTCTCTGTCCCCACGGACAGTCCCCGTGCCCTCTGGCCGTTCAGAGTGGGGGGCTCACGGCGTGGGTGTGGGCCCGGTGGCTTCAGCTGCGGGCGCTGGGGAGCATTTACCCAAACAGAGCCCCGGGGTTGGCCGGGCGAGGCGGCTCACGCCTGTCATCCCAGCACTCTGAGAGGCCGAGGCGGGAGGATCGCTCGAGGTCAGGAGTTTGAAACCAGCCTGAGCAAGAGCGAGACCCCGTCTCTACTATAAATAGAAAGAAATTAATTGGCCAACTAATATATATAGAAAAAATTAGCCGGGCGTGGTGGAGCATGCCTGTAGTCCCAGCTACTCGGGAGGCTGAGGCAGGAGGATCGCTTGAGCCCAGGAGTCTGAGGTTGCTGTGAGCGAGGCTGACGCCACGGCACTCACTCTAGCCTGGGCAAAAAGAGTGAGACTCTGTCTCAAAAAAAAACACAAAACAAAACAAAAAAAAAACAACAAAGCCTGGGGGTGTTGCGTGAGGAAGCAGAGGCCCAGAGAGGGGGAGCGACTTACCCAAGGCCACACAGCGGCTCAGGGGCAGAGCGGGGGCTCTGTGCACAGGGGCCCTTCCAGGAAGGGGTGGAGGAAACCCCGTCACCAACCGGAGTCTGAGGCTGTTCCTCCCTCTCTTCCCTTTTGTTCCTCTCATTGAAACTGCATCTCAAGCTCTTTCTTTCTTTTTTTTTTTTTTTGAGACAGTCTCACTCTGTTGCCCAGGCTAGAGTGAGTGCCGTGGTGTCAGCCTCGCTCACAGCAACCTCAAACTTCTGGGCTCAAGCGATCCTCCTGGCTCAGCCTCCCAGAGTGCCGGGATGACAGGCGTGAGCCTCCGCGCCCGGCCTCGAGCCCTTTCTTTGCAAACGGAATCCACGGAGCAGCCGCTGTCCCGTCAGCCCCTGTGCCTTCCTCCCTCCCGGCTCCTTCCTCGCTGCCTCCTCTGCCCAGGCCCCCTCTCCTCTCCCGCACCTGCACGCAGGTGAGCCGCGGGCACGCACACACACGCGTGTGCACGCGCCATGCTGATGCGTCCACAGAGCCACGTGCAGGACACACCTGCACACGCACGCACGCACACACACACGTATCCTGGGCGCAGCTCCTGCGTGTGCACAGTCACACCCACACGCACACACATGCATGGTGACTCGAGCCCGTGCTCCAAGCAGAGCTTGTGGACCAAAAGGAGGTCGGAGCCTCGGAGAGTCCCTGGACTCGGCGGGGGGTCCATGCGGCTCCGCCTGCGTCCCCCTCCCCCCGCCGGTTGCTCTGGGACATGTGGGCACACTGTTTCCCTCCCCAACCTGTGACACGTGTGGCTCGTGACACGTGTGGCCCGTGACAATGACGGTGACACAGGGAAGACAGATGTCCTCTGGCGGCTGCCCCAGCCTCTGGCCCCCGTGGAGTGTCCGACGGGTCCCTCCAGCCTGGACGGGAGCCCCCCGCCGGCTCAGCCCTGCCCGGGGAGGACGGCTGCTTGCCCCCATGCACCCCGGGGCGGTCCCCCCGCCCTCCCCGGCCGAGCTCTCCCCGACGGGCGAGCACCGACCGCCGGTCCCGTGACCCCTCGCCTGACCTCGGTGAGCCCAGGCTGCGTCCGTGGTCGGAAAGATGCCCGGGAAAACCCCCCGGCAGGCCATCCCGTCGGCATTATGACCGGAGGAACAACACCTTACGAAATCTATTATTCATTAAGTGTAACCGATATATAATTTAAAACAGTGGGGTTTTGTCAAATAATGTCAGGTCAGCATAATTTTCTGCCTGTTACTAATATCTATAACATCTTTGCCTTAGTCAGCTCTGTTTAAATATGCAATCATTTACAGCTTTTGAGAATATTTCTGCGCGCTCCCAATTTCCAATATTCGACTACGACGGGATTTTTTTTTTTTTTTTATGCTGACATCAATAGCAAACTATTAAAGACAGTATTTCATTATTGGTTTTTCATCCCAAAAGTTATTTACAATTATATACTAAGCACTAATATTAAAGGGAAACCATTTAAATGAGGTGCTATCTACTTTAACAATATGTCTGTCACAGAATGAGATTGTGTTTAAAGATTTTTATCAAGAAATGGTTGTTTGCTGAGGTTATGTTTTGTCCATGAAATATGCATTTCATATCTCTTTCATTTCATTAACATAATTTAATTTGTGCTTTGCATTTTGTGCATAATACATATTTGATTTACAAAACAAATATTTCCATTAGAAAATGAATTTCATGCAGGCAAAAAGCAGAACCAAATGATGTATTGAAGGAAAATAAGAAGAAATGAAATGCATTTTCTCAGTCTATTAAAAAATCTATGGCATTGACAGAAAGTGCACTTAGTGCTACATTTAAAAAATAGCACATATGTCAATGTATTAGCAAATAGAATTGGAAATACAAATATTTCCCTATATCAAGCCAAGAATCTCTTTATTTTAATTGAGTTGATTTAAAAGCCCAACTACAATTTAATTTTTATTTCATGATGTGGGGCTGGGGCCGGTGCCTTCGGAGCTGTGCGGGGTTTGGCGGTTGATGGAAGGAGATAGTTGACCTTAAAAATGGCTTTTATTGACAGCGGAGAGGCACGGTTGGATGGGGAGCAAATGGGGAGCGGCCCTTCGTGTTGGGGCGGACGTGGGGGGCGGCTGCGGGCTTCTGAGCAGCTCCTCGGGGCTCTTCCTCCCCTTGCCGCTGCCATTCCCAGTCCCCCCTTGCCCCTCTCCCCTCCAGCTGGGGCTGCCGGGGGTCCAGGGGTCCCGGGAAGCGAGGGGCGTGAGTCTTCGTGGGCCCACACGGGAAAGGGAGGTTCTGGAGTTACGGGGCTGGGGGTCCACTAGGACCCCGGCATCCTCCCAGCCCGCAGGGGGCCGGCCGTCCTCCGTGCCGGGGGTGGGGGGCGCAGGTGTGTGTGTGTGGGGGGGCAGGCGCACCCCGGGACGTGCCGTGTTGGGCTGACGGGGGGTTAAGTCAAGGATGGGAAGGTGCTTTTCCACTGCCGCCGTGGCACCCGGGAAAAAGCTTGAGGCAAAGGAGGGGCAAAAAAAAAAAAAAAGGATCAAGCGTTGAAGTTCACTCTTGATGGCACCCACCCGGTTGGAAGACGCAATCGTGCATGCTGCTAATTTTGAGCAGTTTTTGCAAGAGAGAATCAAAGAGAACGGAAAAGCTGGAAACCTCCGGGGGAAGGGCCGTGACCATGGAGAGAAGCAAGAGCAAGGTCACTGCCAACTTCCAAGGTGCCTATTTCTGAAAGGTATTCGAAATATCTCACCAAAAAAGTATTTGAAGCTCAATCTACGTGATTGGTTGCGTGTAGTTGCTAACAGCAAAGAGAGTTACGAATTACGTCACTTCCAAATTAACCAGGACGAAGAAGAGGAGGAAGATGAGGATTAAAATTCATTTATTTGGCATATTTTGTATGAGTTCTTAAATAAAACATCGGAAGTAAAAAAAAAAAAAAAAGGATTGGAAGGCGCTGGAGGGAGTGGCTAAGACGTCCCTGTCAGTCACGGGCACAGGACAAAAGGTGGGTCCACCTGCCCACCTGCCCACCTGCCTACCTGCCCACCTGTCCACCTGCCCACCTGCCCACCTGTCCACCTGCCCACCTGTCTATCTGCCCACCTGCCTACCTGCCCACCTGTCCACCTGCCCACCTGCCCACCTGTCCACCTGCCCACCTGCCCACCTGCCCACCTGCCCACCTGTCCACCTGCCCACCTGCCCACCTGCCCACCTGTCCACCTGCCCACCTGTCCACCTGTCCACCTGCCTACCTGTCCACCTGCCCACCTGCCTACCTGCCCACCTGCCCACCTGCCTACCTGCCCACCTGCACACCTGCCCACCTGTCCACCTGCCCGGCCCTCACCCCGCCATCCCTTCCCCTGGGCAATCCCCAGGTTCTACTGGGCTCAGTGTGACCAGAGGGGCTGACCCTTCGGGAGTGCCGTAGGGACGGGGCCCTCGGGCTAGACCCTTGCAGCCCAGCCTCTCAGCTTCAGAGAAGGGAAACTGAGGCCCGTAAGGGGCAACGCTGCACAGTGAGTCTGTGGCCCGGCCGGCACGCCTCTGCCCCTATTCCTTGACCCCAAAGCTCTTTCCCGTCTCTCCCCGATCGCCCGAGACTCACGCCCTCCGCCCGGCGGCCCTGCGCCCCCACACGGCAAAGCAGCAGCCCCTGCGTTGCCCCGTGACCACAGATTTGTAGAAGGGGGCTCCCCCGGGGGCGTGAGAGCCCCCCACTTTATGTGTGCGGAGGGCACACTCGTGAGCCAGGGCTGCTCTCAGCGTGGCTGTGGCGTGCGGTTGCACAGGCTGTGCACTGAAGCACGGCCGTGTGCCACTCACACGGATGAGCGTGAGAAGACCCCCCGCCCCCCGGGAGCGGCGCCGTGCAGCAGCCCTGCCATCGCCCGCGCCTCCGGGCGCCCGCCCCAGCTGGGTCGCCGGTGCACGTGTGGCGTGGGGGACATGAGAAGCGTGGGGGACTCTTCTTGGAGCCCACGCGTGGACTTGGCGTGGACTCGAGCAGGAGGCTGAGGCCACTGAGCCCCCAGGACGGCGCTGCGGTGGATGGGGGGGCCCAGGCTCCTCGTCCGCGCTAGAACCTTCTTTCCTCGGGGCGGCTCTCACGCCACACGGCGGGCGTCCCCGTGGGGCTGTACATGGGAGTCAGCTCCGCTCCTCTTTCCGGGAGGACAAGCTCCTCACGTCAGGCGCGTACAGGGTTTCCGGAGCGTGTGGATTTCTGGAGTGTGTGGATTTCTGGAGTGTGTGGAGCATTAGATGTCAGACGTGTGGATTTCTGGAGCGTGCGGATTTCTGGAGCGTGCGGATTTCTGGAGTGTGTGGATTTCTGGAGTGTGTGGAGTGTCAGGCGTGTGGATTTCTGGAGCGTGCGGATTTCTGGATCGTGCGGATTTCTGGAGTGTGTGGATTTCTGGATCGTGCGGATTTCTGGAGTGTGTGGATTTCTGGATCGTGCGGATTTCTGGAGTGTGTGGAGCATTAGATGTCAGACGTGTGGATTTCTGGAGCATGTGGATTTCTGGAGTGTGTGGATTTCTGGAGCGTGTGGATTTCTGGAGTGTGTGGAGCATTAGATGTCAGATGTGTGGATTTCTGGATCGTGCGGATTTCTGGAGTGTGTGGATTTCTGGAGCGAGTGGATTTCTGGAGTGTGTGGAGCATTAGATGTCAGGCGTGTGGATTTCTGGAGCGTGTGGAGCGTCGGACGTGTGGAGTGTTAGATGTCAGGCGTGTGGATTTCTGGAGCATATGGAGTATCAGGCATGTGGATTTCTGGAGCATGTGGAGTGTCAGGCGTGTGGATTTCTGGAGTGTGTGGAGCGTCAGGCGTGATAAATGGTATTCCTGTATGTCCACTTAGGTGCTGATCCGTTGATACCAGTTTGCTGGTGAGTCCATGGGGTGCTTGTTTTTCCATTCTTGGGATACTTCACTCAGTAGAATGGGCTCCAGCTCCATCCAGGAAAACACAAGAGGTGCTAGGTCACCTTATTGTTTCTTAGAGCTGAGCAGAACTCCATGGTGTACACGCGCCACATTCTATTAATCCACTCGGGTAATGATGGGCGCTTGGGTTGTTTCCACAGCTTTGCAATTGTGAATTGTGCTGCTGTAAACATTCGAGTGCAGGTGTCTTTTTCATAGAGTGTCTTTTGTTCCTTTGGGTAGATGTCCAGTAGCGGGATTGCTGGACCCAACGGTAGATCCACTTGCTTTGCTTTAAGGTATCTATCTCCATATCGCTTTCCACAGAGGCTGAGCTAGTTTGCAGCCCCAGCTCTTGTTTTTTTTGTCACTGCTTTTGCTTTCGACTTTCTTTTTTTTTAAATATGCCATTCCTAATTTATGCCAGATTTCTCACCCAAACCGTGTCAACTCTTAGCACAACTGTCAACATACCAGGCCGTCTTGTTTCCCTTCCCGCGGACGTCTTTCCCATAGCGCTTCCGTCTGCTCCCTGGAACCCTGTCCGCCGGAGTCTTCCTCCAGCAACAGCCGGGCAGTTAGTTGCTTTGCCTCTGGCGTCCTGTAGGCTGCGCCTTCCTCTTTTTCGGTTTACGCCCTAGTTTTGGTGGTGCTCACCCTCCAGTGGCTTTCTGAGAAAAGGCGGCTGGAAAGTAGTTTATTTATTTATTTATTTATTTATTTTACAGACTTTGTGTGTTTGAAGTCTCACCTGTCCACCCTCCCTCTTGGCAAACCACTCAGCAGGAAGGATCTAGAGTTCTGGGTTGAGGTTGTTTTTCTCTGCATCTTTTTTTTTTTTTTTCTTTTTTGAGACAGAGTCTTACGCTGTTCCCCAGGCTAGAGCGAGTGCCATGGCGTCAGCCTAGCTCACAGCAACCTCACACTCCTGGGCTCCAGCGATCCTCCCACCTCAGCCTCCTCCCGAGTAGCTGGGACTACAGGCATGCGCCACCATGCCCGGCTGATTTTTTCTTTATATTTTTAGTCGGCCAGCTAATTTCCTTCTATTTTTAGTAGAGACGATGGGGTCTCACTCTTGCTCAGGCTGGTCTCGAACTCCTGAGCTCCAACGATCCTCCCGCCTCGGCCTCCCAGAGTGCTGGGATGACAGGTGTGAGCCGCCACGCCCAGCCTTCCTTCTGCATCTTGAAGGCTCTGTCCCATGGTTGGCTGGTCCGATTTGCAAGGCCCTGATGCATCCGCGAGGGAAGAGTCTCGTGACTTGCTCTCGTCCTAACAAGGCCCCTCCTGCCCCCAGCACAGTGGGACTGAGCTTCAACACACGCATTTCGGAGGGACGAATTGAAACCACAACCCTGTATCCACGACCTTCTGCCAGAGTGTCCCGGGCTTATGCACACCCAGGCCTGTCAGCGACATGCCCTGTTTATAGTGCATGAATGGAGAACTGGAGGGATTATGAGGCCGACAGGTCCGGAGACAACTGCCGCTGAGAGGTAGAGTGTCGCTCGTACTTGGGGGTGGGGTGGGGCTCGCCACGCCTGGCAGGGCCACTCGGGGAAGCGTGGGGCTCAGTTGGGGAAGGAGGGAGCCAGGGGGAGGGTGGGCCGGACCCTCACTGTGGTTTTCTTTTTTGCTTTTTTTTTGAGACAGAGTCTTGCTCTGTTGCCCGGGCTAGAGTGAGTGCCGTGGCGTCAGCCTCCCTCACAGCAACCTCAGACTCCTGGGCTCAAGCGATCCTCCTGCCTCAGCCTCCCGAGTAGCTGGGACTACAGGCATGCGCCACCATGCCTGGCTAATTTTTTCTATATATATATATTTAGAGTTGGTATATATATATTTTTATTGTTTTGGTTCTTTTTGAGACAGAGTCTTTCTCTGTTGCCCGGGCTAGAGTGAGTGCCGTGGCGTCAGCCTCGCTCACAGCAACCTCAGACTCCTGGCCTCAAGCAATCCTCCTGCCTCAGCCTCCCGAGTAGCTGGGACGACAGGCACGCGCCACCATGCCCGGCTCATTTTTTCTATATATTTTCAGTTGTTTGGGTAATTTCTCTCTATTTTTTTTAGTAGAGACAGGGTCTCGCTCTTGCTCGGGGCTGGTCTCGAACTCTGGAGCTCGAGCGATCCTCCCGCCTCGGCCTCCCAGAGTGCTGGGATTGCAGGTGTGAGCCACCGCGCCCGGCCGGGGTTTGTGTGTGTTCCTTGGCCCCTAAGACGTACCTAGCAGGCCCCCATCCCCCCTGGCTGGTGTGTCCTGGCGGGTTAGTCCCCCATCTTGGGTGCAGCAGGTGACAGGCTCCTGCAGCCGGCCCAGGGCACCTGCGCCGTCCTGTTTGTTCGGCTCTGTTCTTGCTGGGGAAGGCGGGGTCCTGCCCCCCTCCCCCTTGTGATTGGACTTCAGGGGTGGGGGTCAGGGATCATTACCCGGGGAGAGCGGGGGGTGGGGGGGGACTCCTCAAGTGCCACCGGACGGCAGGGAAATAAAAGCCGTGATTTAGGGGCGGCTTCTCCTCCACGGAGGGTCTCCCGTCTCTGTTCGGCTAATGAACCCCGGGCAGATTCATGGCCATGTGAGAAGCCGACGGAAGCCTCACTCCTCGGAGACTCGCGGCATAAATCTTTGTTTTTAATGTCTAATGATATGTAAAATATTTAAATTCGCAACTCAGAATTATTAAGCTGCCAAGGTTTCTTTGCCTATTAAAGTGCATTCTTGCTGCAGGATTTATGGGGAGCCTCAGTGGCCGCCGCCGGCCCCCCGATAGGGGGACGGAAGGTGTAGATTTGTGGCCTCCTACTGTAAAAAAAAAAAGGAAAAAAAAAAACTTCAGGATCATCTGACCCTGTAAACCGAAAATTCATGTCTCTCGCCCGGGGACAGACGCATTCTTTGTGGAGGCTGCCCATGGCCAGCCTTGGGCTCCTGTTGGTTTATTGTCACTGGTTGATAACGTTTAATGGGAAAGATACAAGAGTGCCAAAGAATTTTAATTATTTTTTGT